AAAAAAAAAAAAAAAGAAAACGAAAATAAAAAAAATAGATAAAATATCTACGGACAATTCTATATCCCTGCTCTTGTAAAAAACCAATGATTTTTTTCTATAACGAGAACTAAAAAAACAGAGAAAAATAAAAATATAAAATATGTATGAACGATTCCAATCGTTCGTAAAACCAATGATCTCTTTTTTCTATAGGGGGAAAAAAAAAAAAAACATAAAAAGAAAGTAAAATATCTATAGACAATGATTAGATTTCTTGTTTTTTTTATTTTGTTTTCTGGCAACAAAAAACGGTTGTTAAAATTGAAGAAATTTTAAACGGAACCTTTTAAATAATAGTTCGTTTTAAAGGATAGAATGGGACCGATGAAATTGCATGTAACGAGTTAGACTCTTTCTCTCTCTCTCTCTCTCTCTCTCTCTCTCTCTCTCTCTCTCTCTCTCTCTCGGTGATAGTAGAACCGAAAAGCAAAGAGGAAAACACATAGTCCCCAGTTGTATTCGGCCGTCGCAAAGCTCACTTCCGGCGAACGCGCATCGTGTATAAACGACGACGTAATAAACCCTGCTGTTCGACCGTACGCCCCGTATTTGCCTCGTATTTGCCCCGTATTTGCACCGTTTTGCATCTGCCGAAAGAGATGGAGATAAAGAGAGAGAGAAAGAGATAGAGAGAGAGGTAGGACAAAATTGCAGTCGCTTGCAGTAACGAAAATCCAACGGTGTCGAAAGCGTGCCACGCGAACCGCGCGTGGCCTCCCTGCCCGCGGATTGCCCTTTTTATTGCTTTTCCTTGTTTTTCTTTTCTTTTTTTTTCTACCTTTTTTCTTTCCCGAGATTACAGGAAAAATAATAAGAGATCCCTCTTCGATTTTGTCCTCGTTCAAATTCGCGCTTTAATCGTGTTATTACTCTCGTGAAAATAAAAGTAACTGAACGATGGAATTGTATAGAACGTTAAGTTGCAACAAACACGAGTAATACGTCGGTACAATTGGAAATGATATAAAATAATGAGTAATATAGTTGCTTTTTATTTTTGTAGGTTGTTACGCGCGTGTAGTATATTGAAATAAAAATTATTTATAAGATTTTTTAAAAGCTATAGTCATCGTGATCATTTAATCTTTTTATTTTTCGCTGTATCTTTTTTTTCTTTTTCAATATCGGAAATCAAATATAACCATCGAATCGAATTCGTTCTCCGTTTTTGTCTTGTCCATTCTATTTTATTTCTTTACTATCAAAAATAGTCAGAAATATGAAAGTTTCGAGAGTTATTTATAAAAAAAATATGTCAAAGAAAAATGATTAATAATAATATATACTATAATATATCAGAAAAACGTAGACCGAATATGACAGTGGAATATTCGCATTCTTTATTTGTCTTTAGTTCTTGCTCTATTTCCTTCGTTATCAAAGAAGGTAACAAGGCAAATATAAAAGGTTTGAGAAGTTATTTGTAGAAGGCATGCTCAAGAGAGATTCGGCCACCTGTAGGAAAAAGACATCGTTTCTGTCTTGTCGTGAAGCGAACCGGATGGAAAATAAACTCCTGAGAACCGAATTTATCTCTACGTGTATATGCGTGTATTTGTCTGTTTTATGTATGTTTCTCTCTCTCTCTCTCTCTCTATGTGCTACGTAAGTACACGTGTATGTGTGTGTGTGTACGACTGCACACTTCGTAAGAGAAACCGAACGAAGCTCAAAAAGAGTTAGTGTGTGGGGAGGTAGAAAAGGGAATAAGATTGTGAGGAAAGAGCCACTACCGTTAGAGAAGATAGTGGTCTCGCGTATCGCCCGCAACGAATTCAATTAGGGGAGAGAAGAGACCAGAATTTTGTATCGCCGTTTGAGATAGAACGATCGTAGATTTTAAACGAATGTTGTCTGTTCGTACGTGACCGGTAGGCCGATTCGTTGCCACGATTTCAGACGACCAATTGCCTTGTCTTCTCTTTCTCTTACCGTCTACGAGAGAGCTAACGAATTTCGATTAGAAAACTTTCGGAGAAATGATCAAAGCAAATAATCGACATTCTTTTTTGTTTCTTTTCAAAATAGAAGTTAACACGACATATAATAATTAAAAAAATAATCTTTATAATATAATTGTTAGAAGATAATATATTCGAGATATCGATTTTTGTTGGATATCCGAAGAAAGACATTCGGCGAGATGATAATCGAAATGGATTTGCGTCGTTCGTCGTAGAAGGGATATTACGTGGGCACTAATTCGATGATTCGATAACGATATCGTCGATAGCGCGCCGTTTACAAGGACGGTGGGTTTTAATGGGCCGACTCTACGTCCACCTGTTGGCTCTACCACTCTCGAGCCAGCGCTTACGAAAGTCACGTCATCCGAGAAAATTTTGGACCTCTCTCGTGTATTCGCGCAAGCTATACTGAATAAACAAGAATAAAGTAGAAGAAGTAGGAAGGAAGGAAGGAAGGAAAGAAGATTGATCTTTAGAAAGATGCCGGGCCATGGTATACATACAAATATATATTTACATTTTTCATCTTCTAAAAGTTATCTACCATAAAGTGGAATAAACTTTATTTGATATTTTTCAAAATAACTTTCCCCCGATTTATTTGAAATATTTTATGTCGAGATATCGGATCTACCACGATCTTATTATCCCATTTAAATAATTTTGATGAAGTCCCTTGTATAAATTAACACGATAGGAATCTTCGCGTGTTACAATTTGACCAAAACTAAGGCTTCTTTGCGGTCGGTGGGTGCATAGTATAACACAGTAGGCGACGATCGAAAACACGCGACAGGTTAAGCACGTGACTTTGAAGATGATCGACGAGGGAGAGAGCCCTTTTTGCCGATAACAAAAATGAGAAACAGCTTTGAACGAGGTGGATGAAGAGACAGGGGCAAGCCAATCTGACTTTACCTACAATTTCCTCTTGAATAAGATATTAACTTGGGATATCAAACCTCGTCGTGATTTTCTATCATGTGTTGACCTACTATGTCTGTCTGTCTATCTCTCTTTCTGTCTTTCTCCTTCTTTATGTACCTACAGTTGACGTATTCAGCTCAACTTTCGACGTCATTTTCTAAATGATCGATGAGAGTAGCTTTGGGTTCAACGAGTAGAGTCGACTTTCCGATGAAAAACATGTCGCGGATCGAAATTAGGAGAGTTAACGAGCGCACACGCGACAGAGAAAAAGGAAACGTCAATATTCTCATCGTACAATCTTCTTCAATTTCGTTTTGTGGTGCGTGCATACATACGTCAGGGTTGTTTCTTTCGAAGATCACGCGAGATTATCGACCACGTTACTTCTTTTTTTACCAACCCTCCCCCCCCCCTTACACTCTTTTCTTTCTTCCTGTTTTTATTCTTACTTTCTTTTTTCTTTTGCGAGCCGCGAGCCAACTCTCGTTATCCCAGGAATTATGGTGTGGCGAGTTATCGCGGACAATTTCCACGTCGTATCTCGTTTAGAACTCGCTCGATATTAAACGGGAACGCAAGGGAACGATTTATATCTCAAATAGCGAAATAGTTTCCCTCGTAAACGTAATCATTTTTGTTAGCAATTATAAAAGATTAATATTAACGAAAAGTACGAATTTCCGTTGGGGGTTGGAAAAGGGCGGGAAACGTTAAACAAAATTTTATTTTCTCCTTTTTCTTTTTTTATTCTTCCGAAAGAGATCAAACGATGTTCCATCGCTCGTTATTACGATTTCTTCGATATCTTTTTGACAAACGAAACGTGACTGCTAACGAACATCGTCCCGCACGCATTGTTTCATGTAAAAGAATACGAGACAATTTTTGTATCAAATTTTCACAGTGGTACTTACCAAAGTATAGAAACGAAGAATTCAGCTGTTCGAGTCTCTCATTCTCTCGGCTTTTCGAAAGAGAGAAACATCACCAAAAAATATACTCTTCTCACGTTCACAAAAGAGCCATCGATATTTATTTTCTTTGCCTTTTACCAAATATTTCGACGAATCAAATACGAGAGAATAGAAAATAAGGGAAAAAAAAAAATGTTATCTGTCATAAAAGTAAAAAATAACTAACTGTCTATCTATATTTCTCAATGTGTTTATTCCGTTTATGTTTAGATAAAAATAAAATAAATCGATGAGAGAAAAAGACGAACAAAATGTATGATCGCGAGAACACCGAGCTTCGAATTACGTCACGTGTGAAAGGTCAATGAGTTTTTCGAAAGCGAAAAAAGTAATGCTTTTCCGTAAGGGAAGAACGAACACACACGTCTTTTCCCTCGGAGCGCGCACGGCGCACTGAGAATAGCGAACGGTTCTATACTTTGAAATCAAGCCGGAACTAGTGTGGTGGCGCTAGTGGCGCCTACCACCGAGGTATAAGAGAGTATAGGAGTGCCAGTGGTATGCAACAAACCCGACGAAGCGTTTCTCCTCGCACCAACCCCCTCGCACCCACCCTCGCACTACCACTTCAACCCCTTTAGAAGGGGAGGACAAGGGAAGCGGAAGAACGCCACCCATCACTGCTACCACTACTACCCCCTATCGGTTGCTTTCCCTACGTGCTGCTAAGCACCAGACTTTCCTACCAAGTATAACGAAATACGTATATGGATTCCTTTGATCATTTACATTATATTTCCAAGATGCAGATCCAATTCCCTGTATATGTATACGTACGTATATATATATATGTGTGTGTGTGTGTTTTATGTGTAAATGAGGAAAAAAAGAAAGAGAATTTTCTTTTTCAAAGAGAGAGAAAGAGACTCGGATAAATTCTTTTTCCCAGATATTCTTTCTTCTGGATTTTTCTAGGAAACATTGATTGTTTGGTGAAAAAATAGTATGTTAATAGAGAAATATACTGATGGTGGGTAGCGTTTATCGATGATGAGTTATAAGAACGAAGGTAGAATTGAAGTTTTTTTGATATACATTCCGAAGTAAACGTTCGAGAGAAATTGTCTTCTTTTTTCATAGAGCAAATTTTGTTACGTACAAAGTGTATTATAAGGTTTTTGTCGTTTCTCCTGTCTTTCACTGTCACTTATTAACGAGTCCTTTTACCGTATCGTTTTCTCTCCTACTGGCGTTAAAAAAGAACGGAGTAATAGGTTTGGTTTTTATTTCTTTTTTTTGTTTTTGTTGTTGTTGTATTTCTTCTTTTTATCGTTACGTCGATAAACGTGAGAAGGTTGTTTCACGCGATCAACTTTTTTTTTCCTATCTTTCGCGAAAAATACAAGTATCACGTACGCAATTCTAGATATATCTATATATATATAGATATACACGTTTTCTTCTAATATCCGGAGAAAAGCGCACGGAAGTGGCAATAAAATGATTTCGACTCTTATACAGAAACACAGAGGAAAATTTTTCATTTCGCGAAGTAGCAGCGAGTACTCTCTAGTTCGGCGTACCTTTCGTCGATTTCGCGCACGTCGTCGATCTCGTTCGAAGTACGAACTGGAAGTACAATCAAATTTCGTTTCGGACCTTCTCGAGAGTGAATAGGGAGAAGGAAGTTGAAGGAGCGCGCTCGTTAACTACGTTTTCCGTCAAATTTCCTCAAGCGTTCTCATTATTTGTCAATCATTTGTACCTCTGACAACTAGCCAAAGATCCAAATTTCTACAATTAAAAACCCCAACTGTTACAAATTTCATTAATGATTACTGCGAATTATTAGTTAAAAAATAAAGTAATTATTTGTTATGCAGAAAAAAAAATCAATTTACATTTTACAAGCGATCCTAAAATTAACGATCAAGATAATAATCGTCGATTAGATTGAATAATTATTAATACAAAATATTATTGTTTGTTGTATTTTTTTTCGCAAGATTTTCCTTCGCATTATAACATAGTATAATAGAGGTACATCCCGTGAAATTTATTTAACGCCGTGACGCTCTCCTGCCTGCTTAATCGTTCCGTGAAATCAGATTTCTTGTGTTATGAATTTTTTTAAAAATACCGTGATTTTTCTTTTCCTTTCTATCTCATTATTCATTTTTTTTATTATTTTATCCAAGTACAAGTAACAAAAAAGTATATAGATAGAAGCAAAAAGGTCAGAAATTTCAAGAAAGTTTTATTCTTTCATTCTCACAAGTTTTCTTGATGATCGATGATTTTATTATATAATATTTTAATTAGTTTCTCTCCTTATGAATAAAAAGACCAAGATACATTTATTTGTAATTATTTTTCTTTCAATTAATATCATCAACAAATTTTAAAAGCAATGTAATCTACTTTCATCTTGCTGATTATTAAATTTTAATTTTTGTGCAATTTATAAGCTGTTTTCTGAAAGCTTACTAGGTAATAAATTATAGAAACAAATATAATTTGTTTGCCATAGACACAACACATTGACTACGCGATACTGACATACTGTCAGGATTACAATGCTTGATAAACTATTCGTACTTGACCAATCATTTTCTATACAAATATATACGCTCCTCGTGCATGAGTGTTTAACACTTCAACATTGTAGTCATACGTCATTCGGAATAAAAAGTTAAATAATAGCAAACGTATTGAAGTAAAACTAGTATGTATGTGTGTTTATGTGTGTATGTAACTCGAAAGAGCTTGACAAATATGTTGAGAATACATTGATAGAGGATCGAGGAATTTTTCATTTCGAAAGGTAAAGAAAAAAAAGAAAAAATATAATAAAAAATATGAATAAGAAAGAAAAATAATAAACGGAGGAAAAAAAATTAGGAAACAAAAATAACTGGACGAGCTAAAGCGAGTCGGATGAAAGTTTTGAAAGGAATTATTAATAACGTTGTCCATATTTTTGTTTGAAAGTTCCAAACGAAATATATGTCTGCGAACAGGAAGAATAAAAGTTAACTAATCGAGACAATGTTATTTTCCGTTCGAGACGATTACACGTAACAAACAGAACAAGTTAAACTTTTTACTTACATACACGTACATATATAAAAATATATTCATGCATTATTGTAAATAGGCCCAAGATTCTAGGTTACCGGAACAAGAAAGTCATTTTTAGAAGGGTGCTTAAAATATAAAAATATGATTTAATATTTTAATATTGAATCCTTTGCACTCGAGAGGTGACTCTCGCTCACCACTCTGTATGGTGCAGAAATTCGATGCGCGGTTATAATTATTTAAAAAGGTGTAAAGATACATTAAATATCAAAATATAAAAGTTTAATGCGTCAATTAATATGTGCACCTATTTTATGTTAGAGAAAAGAAATTTACCAAAGACGCTACGAAACGATTCGAGTTGCTGGATAGTCAGCGCGGAAACAGTCTCGAGTGCATAGGGTTAACAATTATAATAGAAATACATATTGGTATATATCGTTATGAGCAAATCTAAATCGTTCTCGACTATCAGGACAAGTAACCTTATTCATCATTTATATATAAAAATGTATTTATATACAATATATTTATTTAATCAAAAGTTATATTGCAATTCACGTAATCAAGCAAATTACTGCTGATCGATTTTGATCCGTCGAATCGAGAATGAGAGTAAGATAGAGATAGAGAGAGAGGGTATGCGGAATTAGGATGGGAATTTACGGTGAAGATGGTAATTCTCGATTTGCAGGTTCGGTGCAGTTAGAGAGAGAGAGAGAGAGAGTAGAACAGTCGATTTCCTGGACCAATAATTCACCAAGCCATGCTCTTCGAACAAGCTTAAGCCTCCGCGAACGTATTCCATTGGTCGAACTTTCCAACGATATGTCACAATAAATGGAGTAACTTCTTCCTTTCTGTTCGCGAAGAAACTACTCTCTTCTCTTCTCTCTCTCTCTCTCTCTATTTCTTTCTAGTTCTCTCTATATATACACGTTCACTAGCATTATTCGTCCCTTATCTTCTTCTAGCAGGGTAATAACGCGAGAAGTGAACGTCACGTGTCGTCTTCGCTAACGGCTTAAAGTAACTGGCTAACCTTAACTCCTTTCTTACATTCTCTCTGCCCTTTTCTCTAAAACCCTTACCTCTCGCCCTTCTCCTTTTACGAATATTATTCCTCGCGGCTGGAACGATTAGTCACAGTCGAAAACTTACCGTTGAACTTCGACTTATCTTCGCTCGATGAGAATACGATTGTTTCTATCGGGAATTCTCGCTCGAGTTGGGGTGGCGGTGGGGGTGGGGAGGGGTTGATTTTGGTGGGGTGAGCGGGGGAAGAGAAAAAAAGAAGAGAAAAAAGGGGAAGAGAAAGTTTTATGATGCATCGCTTGGGGAAAGTTGAATAAATCAAATAAAAAGAAAAAAATGGAGGAGAAGAAAAAGAAGAGGGAAAACAAAGTCTTTCGTTGGTTTGTTCTTTCTTTATTTTATTTTTTTTCCCAAGGAAAATGAGGGTTTAAATAATCGTCTGAAAAAAAAAAAGAAGAAAAACGTTTATACCTGCAAATTATTCGACTTTCCTTAACGTTTACTCTTTTTATCTATCCGAAAATCTTACCGAAATTATTGTATTGTACTTTATTTAAAACGGGTAAGAGAAATAAATAAAAAGGAGAAAAAAGAAAATGTTAAGAAAGATATTTGATTAATTAATCGTTATAGATACGCGTTTAGAATATATATGCGAAATAAATAAAAAGTTAAAAATATCTGGAACGATATAAATCGTAGCTGTGAAAGCGCAATAACGAATCTCAAGCCGCGGCAAAACGTATACAGAAAACAAATATCAAACCACTCAACCTCGAGACGAACTCGCACTGACTACGATGTTTCAGTCGCTTGTTGTTTTGTTCACGGAACACGGAAACTCTCTGTTTCTAATTTTTTTGTCTGCTGAATCTCTTGTTAAAAAGTAAGCTTATCAATGCATAGCTTGTTTTAATTGCGATATATTATTATTATTATTATAAAATAAATATAAATAGACAGACGAATTGATGTATAAATAATATCTACGTATAATAAATAAATACAAATAAGTATAATTATAAATTAAAAACTTTGATTATAAATATAAATTATATATATTTATTTATATGTAAATAGATTGTATAAATTACAGAATATTATAGAAGAGGATCACCGTACGCTGTAACTTTGGCAATCAATAATTCGAACTTATGATAGTTACAATTTCGAATTAATTTCAATTTATTTTTTCCCCTGTAAATGAAAACGTTTCTAGAATCAAGGAAATTAATAATATACCTATATACATTTCTTCTTTACTTCAAAGAAAAAAAAAGGAAGATGCACGTGAACGCACGCGAATAAAAAAAAAAAGGGAAGACGTGTGGAGACGTATAAAAGAAGTTT